ACATCACCAGCTTAAAACAAAGCTCGGCCCGTCTCACGTTCCCAGCATTTATTTCAGAGAACTGATTATATAATTACTTGTTCTGGATTTTATAGCCTAGACCCCGCAAACCAAGTTTTCATTTCTCTGTCAACCCTTAGACCAGTCCCCCCCCGCCTCCCCGCCAGGCAGCACAGCATCCCCAACACTCAGGGAGCCCTTACCAGGCAGCTGGATCTGTTCACACACAGGGCTCCAGACACTTGGCGATCCACTTGGCCCTGCGGATAAGTCCTTTCTACCACAGTCAAACCAGACTCCCCATCTTTTGTTTTTCCTTCGTTCCAACTAGGAGACAGGATGGGATGGCAGGGACTCTGCCCCATCATGAATCAATACAGAGCTGGCTCCATTACCCCCCGCCCCCCACCTCCCCAAGTGCTGAGTCATATCAGATTATGTGGGCAGAAAACTGTGCAGAAGGTCCTGCCAGCCACTTCAAAACTTTTAAGAGTGGTTTGCTTTTAAGTATGCTACACAGAGTCGTCTTCAAGCGAGAACTCCTAAAATCTACACGTAGGTAATGCGTCCTGTGACTGATAAAGGGCAGAGGTGTGGGTGTGTATATGTTCATATCTAACCAGCTGTTTCTCCACCACCGCTCTGTGAAACAAATCAAACAGCTCACCAAAACTAGTTGAAAGTTTTATTTATATAAACTTCATTAAGAACATAAAAGATTAAGTTTCTTAAAAAAAAAAATCTGCAGTTATTTACAGCAGTATTGCACAAGTAAAGTGGCAATTACCCTGTCAAAATTCATCAGTGCAAAACACAAGTAAGCCAGGGAAATCGCAATACAAATGCTACATACGCTGGGTCCTAGGAAACAAGTTAGTGACGGTCCGTATACAGACAGATCAGTGCTATTTATAAATGTGTACCTGATGAGTTCTGATACAGTAACTGGTGGTCACAGAACCTGCACATACAACTTCGGAGAGCTTCTAAAGTCTGATTCCCAAATAAAAGTAGTCAAGTTACCTAGCTGGGAGCTTGAGGATGCTTCTTGAATACAATGCCATTGGGAGCAGGAGTCCCCTCTGCTGGTTTAGCGTCACGTGTGGACCCATCCCTGCACCCACGTGAGCGGGGAGTGGACCACACAGGCACCAGGCTAAATCAGCAGGGATGCTAGAACCATCTACTGACATGGGGCCACTAAGAGGTCTCTCTAAAGCTTCTGCGAGCTTTCACATCTTAACATCCAGTCGAGTGGGACCCCCAACCTCTCTCGAAGCCAACAGAGAAGCAGAAGGAAGACAACCTGAAGCAGGCTGATCAAAGGTAGGGACCAAAGGGCTCAGGGCTGGGGGTGGGGGTCTATACAATTAGCTCCTGAAGACCATTAAGTCCACACCTCAAAGCACAGGACACAGCGGGTGGGGGATAATTCAACTACTCACCAGTTGCCAAAAAGTGGCATGAGGTGGTGTTCCTGATGTCCCTCTCAAGGCAGGAGCAACCTGGCTTACCTGTCCCTTCCTCTTGCCCTGAACAACTCCTGGCAGCACCCCCAAAAAGGGGCCCATTTTTATTTCTCTCAACACTGAATTGTCAGGGATACATTTTCAATGGAAAAATCTGTCCCAACTGCCAATAATACATTAAAATAAAATAAAATTTAAAAAGATATGGCCTGGCCTTCATAGAATTTGCTTCCACGAGAAGCTGGCTCTTTCGGAATAGAAAAGTCACTGGCTATTTCTTGTAGAATTTTGTGGCCGGCCACATTTATGGTCTCTCACTGATGGCTCAACACAGACTTCGTCATCAGGATAGCAAACCCCAAGAACTTAAACCCACGTGACCAGAACTACCAGGAACCAAAGCTGGAGGGCCAGCCTAGGGAAGAGCGTGGGGCTCACAGTCACCACCTCAGAGTTAAAGCAATGAATGGTACAGCATGGGGCGGGGAGCACGGAGGTCAACACTTTTCAGAACATAAGACATTAAATAAGCAGGAAATAAATATACAATATTTCTACAAGTTACAGCATTATGAAACAGTAGGACACATTACACAGAAAAAGAATCTACAGTATGTACAATCTTCAATTCTGAAAAAGTTTAGTAAAAACAGTGATCTTTACTCATTTATGCTGTACAAAATTTTACAAGAAAGGTAAAGGAAACACAATTGCACACAGACATTTGGCTCAGTTGGTAAGTAAAATGTGACCTCCTAATCTAATAAATAGTCAAAATATATACAATATCAAGACGGGGAAACAGGAGAAAGTTATTCTCTACGGTGTACACTCTTTTTAATCAGAGGGAAGTTTTGCCTGGTTCCTCCACAACCCCGAGAGCAGTTCTTGGCAAACTCACTTCTGGGCAGGAGTACAGGTAACTGGAAGAATTGCTCATGGGATTCTTTTGCATGTGTTTATTGCATTTCTATGATAAGTCACAGGACACTTTCTACAAACCTCATGGGAGAAGAGGTGGTCAAGGCACAAAACCCGCATTCAGTTTCCAAAAAGGGATCTAGTCTTTTTTTTTTTTTTTTCCTACAAAAAGTAAAAGAAATACACACTAAAAAGTCAAGGTCTACCACAGTAGGCATACCTTCCGCAGGGAGGCATCGTGATAAACAGACACGTACAGTACAGAGACATCCAGTCATCTCTCTTCAGTCCTGGTGCAACATCCTGCTCCTTAATACTACAAATTCATAGAATCTCTAATTTCCTCACAAGCTGCTTCCGTGGCCAGCCTGGACGCCAGGCGGCCACTGAGCCAGAGGTACGCCAGCACAGAGCCCTCGGGCACCGCTCCCAGGGAGCCGCAGTATTGAAGAAACAGAGTAAAGTGCTCCAGTCAGAGAGACTGGCACTGAGTACGGAGATCCTGGGAGGGGAGGGGGGAGGCGCCCAGAACCAAATACGTCTTTGGTGTGTGTGTGTGTGTGTGTGTGTCCAGCAGGTCCACCACCGCCTTACAACTGTGTGGACTTCATGACCCTACAGAGGGGTTCGAGACACGTCAGGAACACAAGCTGACAACATAGCTTTAAAAATATTCAAGACCCCAACAAGATTTTGGGGGAAAAGAAAATCCTAAGAAAGGAAGAATATTTGGAATCAAATATCTCTACCTAAAGGAAAATGCGTATATGCTGTAGATATATATATATATATATTTATATAGAATTATCAAGATACAAATGAATGGATTTCCCCACTTGATTTAATCACGTGAAAACACTGGTCCTCTGTGGGCCCAAAGCAAAACAAGAGTTGTTGGCACTGCTGACTCGTTTGAAAAATCACGTTTATCTTTTAAAAAGCTATTTAATAATCTGAGGTTTCAAAATCTGGAAGAGTTATAAGGTTCACAAAATGATCTCTACTTCTCCTCTTTCACTGCTTCCTGATCTCTCTCGGGTCTCCCCAAATTGTTTAACTGCCTTTGAAATGTCAGACCAACTCATGGGCCCTCCATTTGCTGCACCCCTCCCAGGCAGGTGTGGAGAAAGAAAAGAGCGTGCCCAACAGAGGTGGATGCACCAAGGGTGGTCCAACAACACCCACGTGTTCCGAGAGTAAGGGAACGAAACAGACCTCTGTCCGAAGGCTGAGAGGCCACTTCAGATTTGGGCTCCAATGCAGTATTTTTACGGCACGGCTGAAGGCAGATTATCCTTCCTTTCAAAGTGGATTTGGGGGGCGGGGGTGGGAACCAAGTGTCAGGCATCAAAGGCCAGGTGAACCTGGAGTTGGACGAAAAGCCTCGATGCCCAGGAAACCACTGCCTAAAGCCCCGCCCACAGCTCGTGCCAATTCCCACGAGGGCTGGAGCTCCGACACCTGCAGCCCAACGGGCTCAGCTGCGAGGGGACATGTTCCCCACCTGCGGCCCCTGCTGACAGTGTACCTGTGACTGTGGGAGAGTCTGCAACCAGAGAAGCCCACAGCGCCGAGGGGCACAGTACCTGTCTGTGCTGCGACTGGTAGTCCTTCTTCAGAACACTTGTAAATGACAAGCCCATCAAAACCAGTGAAAACCAACATCATGCACGTCCCAGTGAGGAAGCTAGTGACAGACAAGACCAACTGGGCTGCGGATGCCACAGGCCGATCCTGACTCACGTTCTGACCCAATTCCCTTTCATCGTGAGAATACACTGGACCAAATCTGTGCATCGGCCTCCAGACAGACCAGAGGAGCATCACAAAAGGAGACAAGGAAAAATACACGAAAAGAGTTTTAAAATTTTGCCACAGATGCAAATGAATTTAAGGAGGTAAGTATTTACAAAACGGGAGTGGCATATCAATACAGGCTGACGACAGACCTTCTGCCCCTTTAATCAGTTTCGTTTCATAAAACTTTTTTGGTATTAATAATAATGATTAAAAAAAAAAAGCATGTCAAAGAGCCAATGGCAGGGAAGGGAGGGGGCTATCTCATACCTCTCCCGTTTAAAAATTCTGTACAGTAATCTAAAAATAAACTAAGGCAGCTTTATCAATTAGCTGGCTCAGTTTCCACTGCAGAGTTTACACATAATCCTCTGAGAGTAGACAACAGGTTCTTAAAATTTTAGTACAAAAATCATTCACGAGTTGGTTAAAAAGTTTCCATTTCCTTTTTGAAAAACCTGTTATTAAAGAAGGTGGAAAAAAACCCACACCACGTGTAAACACCATTCTTGCATAAAATCCTGCTCCAAAGAACCATGATTTGTATTTTTTTTTTTTTTTTTAAAGAATCCTCCCTCATTTACATTCACAACAAACTTCCATTGGAAATTCTGCCATGTGGTGAATAGAAAGGTCAAGTCCACGTTTAGTGCGGTGTCCTCGGGAACACGTTGGCCAGCCTCCCCGCACGCCCTCGCGGGGAAAGAACCGCGGGCTGCATAGCAATGGCACCTCTTACACCGTGGTGCTGGGGCCTGTTGGTTTTAACAAGCGAAATGTCTGCACCCATCTGGCTCCGCAAGGAACCCGTCGTCACTGCAATCTCCACACCAGGCGGACGATGTAACGTAACAGTCGTAAGATAATCATTTGGGGGTGGGCTTCGGCTGCTTGGTAATTATTCAAAAAGACCTGAAACAACAATAGGAAAGCTTCTTAGTTTCTCAGCCCTCGTGTTATTTTTGGGTGGGGGATGCCTATATTTAAGGGAACCACCAATCCCATTTTCACAGCTACAAAGGGCACCCCTTTACGAGGGCTGCACCTTCCGAGCACGGGTCTGTCCCCCGAGACTGCGAGGCCAAAGTCCTTCCTACCTCCCCCACAGAGGGAGACGTCGCCACATAAGGAGCAGCATGCCAAATGATCCGCGTCTTTACAGAAACCAAAAGGATGCTTGGAACCGCAAAGACAATCCCTGAATCTCAGTATGCCCCTCTAAAAAACACATGTATTCTCTCTACGGGCCATGTCATCATTGGCCAGAACTGCCTCGATCAGGGGATGCTTCAGCCTGTGTGCAGGTGTGGAGGAAAGCCATCCCCCAAGTCACTGGAGTTGGCGTCCCGTGGGAAGAGGTAAGGGTAGAGGGGACACAAGAAAGATGTGAAGGAACTGTCTCACTACCCAGGTTATTAACATTCAAATACATGGACTCCCCCGAGGGTGAATTTCTGGTAGCTGTAGTTTACTTGAGAACCCAGTGATTTGGGGTAATTTGTCCTAAGAAGCTAAATCCAGTGGTGCACGGATGCGCCACCGTGCCTCTGGCTGCTGGTGGGCAGCTACGCTATATAAACATGGGTGGCTCAGCACCGAGTCTATGGTCACACACATAGGCAGAGTCAACCCCCATCCTCCCACCCCACGTGGGGAGTAAAGAGCAGTGAAAAATTTTTAAAAAGGCCTCTTTGCTAGTGACCACCATGTTCGTGACAAGCAGAGAAAACTGTTCACAAGGCAATTGCTACATTAAAGGTCTCAGAGGTCCTCAGGTCTTCCGGAGGGCCCACCTGTGAATTCTCATCCATTCTGCAGGTAAGTGCAGGGTATAAATTCAGAGCAGCCAAAGGCGGCAAAGGAACACACCTGCCTCTACGCCAGGAGCTACAACCCATCTCACGGTTAGGGTCTGCACCCTACTCTCATTAAGGTTGTTTCCTTAATGAGTCATCTATGCCCGAGACCAGCTCTCTGCTGTTCGGGGCTCTCCACGAACCCCCTTCTCAATCGGGCAGGTGAGACTTCCAACACAGCATGGTGGAACTACGGGCCATGAGTGGGGCTGGGAACTGGCGTCCCCCGTCACACACAAACACTGCCCGCAGACACCAGCTGGGAGCGGAGCCCTTGCTTGTGACTGTTTACACGAGCTCACAAGCACTTGTCTGACAGGACGGGATTGTGATAAGGCCCGGGCATTTCCCGTTCTCCTTCCATAACCAGACTGGAGGAAATCGGCTTTCTGTAAGCGATTCCTGTACAGGCGCTCCGTAACCACAGTCTGTGATTTTTATCTGTTTTACACAGAAGATTGCTTTGTTTTGATTTAACTTTCAAAATTACTTTGCTTTTTCTGTGTGAGAATAATTTAGGGGAAGGTTAATTTTAGTTGAGACTAATATTAATAGGTTGAAAGAGGCTTATTCAAAATAAAACCACGACTTACTAAAATGAAGAAAGCGCATGCAGGGCTAAGAAATCACTTCAAGGTGGGAAATCTCATGTTAGCCAGGTGTCACTACCAGCCTCAGTACGACCAGAGAATGCGGTCAAAGTGACACCAGTAAGGGGACAGGGCCACATTAGGGACAGGTCCCAACTGCTTCCAGACCTGGCAGCGTCAGAGGAGACATCTCCCCCCAACCCTGAGGACATTGGGTGGACGGCGGTAGCTGTGACACTGAAGAGTCTCATCATGAGACGAGTCTTTCCAAGTTTTTTAGGGTTCTGCCTACATCTCAAACGTAAAGGATGTGGGGGGGTGTTTGAAGGAAGCCGGAGAGCGGGTGGGGGCCATGCAGGAAATTTTGGCAAAAGGAACACACCCAATCCCTGACAAATGAGAAGACGCTACTACTCAAGAAGGACAATGGGATGCGGGCCCTCTCAGGCAGCGCGCATGACAACATGGCACACGCTTTTAAGCCAGCGAGAAACTGCTTTTGGACAACATTCAATGGAGGAAGCCATTACGACTGAACTCCAAGGCCACGCCAGTCCCGAGAACCCTTGACCACTGGCACAGCTCAGCAGGTGCGGCCCATGGCTCAGAAAGAGCTGGAGGACGGGCAGACTCGCTGCCCTCTAGCACCTGCAGCCAAACCCGTCAGCTCGCTCAAGGGAGCACGCGGTAGGTGCCCGATGACGCCAGCGTGGGGCAGGTGGTACAAGGGTGCTGGTCGGTGAGGACGGCCGGCCGGCCTCCAGCCATCAGTGCTGAGCACACATCAGCGCAGCCAGCCGCAGATCTCAGTCTGGCCTCTGGCACTGTGAACACACACAGTTCTGCTGTTTAACCCCCCGTCTAATGCACTCTGTCACTGCAGCCCTAGCAAACGAATCTACCAGTTCACGCTTAAATGAACATTCTTGGTCCTTCCCTTTTTAAAGAAACAACACTTCTTAGATCAGACTTGTGTAATGCTCTTTTACTCTAACTCATAAAAGTACTTTAGGAAAATACATTAATGGGATGCATTTGGGTAAAGGAGATCTTAAAAAGAAAAACTGAATATGCTACTAAGTACAAACAATTCATGCATTAAGGTGATCTCTTTTGCTCTCTCACACACACACACAATCACAAGTGCTTGAAGTGTAGGACCCCATCCTGTTGGGTCTTTTATCTCCATGGTCTAGCAGGAACAATATTCTTTGGGGTTACTGACTTTTATGGCCATCCCATGTATCCAGAAGATGACTCCTTCAACATTCAGCTTTGTGTCTCCCTCCAGGAACCAACTCTGACAGTCCATGCTCCTGTCTGGGTCAGGGGCTCCTGCAGCCCCCAGGGCTGCTTGCACAGGACAGGGGGTGTGCTGGGGCCTGACTCTGAAGGCCGTGTCTGCACCCACTAGGCCCGGTGGGCAATACCTGTGTCTTCAGCAGCAAGTGCAGAACAGCGACGCACGGCCCAGCCCAAGGGCTACCCGTGGGTGCTACCAACAGTGAGAGCGGTCTGGAAGAAAGCCACTGCCACCGCCCTGCCTCTGGAATCAGGAGTCAAGTTCCCACTTTGCAGGTAAAGAACACCTACATATTCCAATAAAATGGGAGGCCTGTGCCAAAGTGGAGTCAAGATGCGGAGGGGGCCTTCCTGTCGAAAGAAAAGTGCGACAGCATCTCTATGAACCTTACACTCTGGTGACGAAGAGCCATACAAATGAACAGGGTAAGAGGACAACAGCAATGCACAGGTAAATAAAATGGCAGGGAGGGCAGCGCTTGCCAGAGAGGCAGTGGTGCCCCGGGAGAGCCAGGGCAGGAAGGTGCAGAGCTGGGACAGGCTTCCCTGGTGGAGACTCAGGTACTCTTCCTGGAAGATCTGAAAAATGTCCCTGGAGACAGTGTCACGAGCATTCTGCAGGGAATCCCCAAACAGAGGACATGGGCTCAAGCTGGGTGGCAGCTAGGGATGGGGCTGTGCCAAAGGAACGCCCTTGAGCAGGGTCCGGGCAGACTTACCAGGAGCTGGGCCACTCTGAGCCACCATGGCCCTGAAACACAGGACTCGGGCTGGGGCTGGGGCTACCTCTGTCTGCAGCAGCCAAGAGGAGGGAGGATGACTGGATACAACACCAGCCGCCACAGTGGTGTCTGCACAAGCACCACCTTCAACTTACACTTGAGATGACCAACCAAGTATCAGAATTTAATTACTATTTTAATGCAAAAATAATCAGAGCAAGACATCCTCTCTTGCCCAATCCAGGGAAGCAGCTATGCAGATACAAAAAAGACCCCGACCCAAGGCTGCCCGGCTGCCCGGAGAAATGGTCAGGGTAACCACCACACGCAGCTCTGGATCCAGCTCCACTCTCCTGCAGGCAGAGACGAGCCCAGCCTCTGAAAAGCCGCCCAAGATAAACCAGGCCTTTGGACTTTGTGCGCCCTAGCCCGGGGTCCGGAAGAGTCCCTCACTGCCACCACTCAACAAAATGACGTGCCAGACTCCTTTCCAGTCTTCACAACAATGCTGTGGGCCAGTATTGCTCTCTTCCACATTTCACAGATGAGGGGACAGACCAAGCTTGTGGACTCAAAATCAAGTCAACTCAGACTTCAGCACAGGGTAGAATACACAAGCTCACCAATCCACGCTCCAAAGGCTGGGCCGAACCCCACTGGGCCGAAGGACTCAGAAAGTACAACACATATACATTCCCATTACTCAAGGGAGCTTAACCATAGAAACACACGGATGGGCACAGTGCAAAAAACACAAAAGTTAAGAGAGATCAGAAATGACATCAAGAAAGAGAGACTTACCCTGGGAACCTGAGATCTAATGCCAAAGAGCCAGAGTTTAGCTAAGAGTTTTCTGGCAGTCAAAGTAACACGGGAAACATGGCCCGATCTTCACCATTATATCCGAGAGCTCAACAGCAAATTCTAAGAGACAAACGAAAAAGCAAGGAATACCGATAGAACTCTGAGACACACAGCAATTTTTAAGCTAATTTCAACACTGAATATCTAAGAGGTCTTAAATTTTTTTTCTCCCTTTTTAAAAGGATGTATCTTTGACTGGTAACATGTTAAAAGAGATGGAATTCTGGACTGTGAGACTCAGACAGGGAACGTCTGCTCCAGATTGGCATGGTGCCTGCGCTTCCCTAGGGGCTGTCGCGGCATCTTTCGGGAACAGGGCTGGGTGTTGTTGCCATAATCCAAGGTGACCGGGGTGGGGGGCGGGGAGCAGAGAGTGGCCCCAGCGATCCTGATGGAAGACCACCTCTACCCATTCATAACCCCCGTCAATCTAAATAGTATTTTTCATGACAAGTGACAGAGATCAGAGAGGAAAAAGGCCGGCCTGTGTGGAGCATCTTTGGGAAGATGTGGGGGTCTCTCCACCTTGGCCCAGATTTTAGAGCACCTGCCTTCAGGTGCCAGGCCGCTGCTGCAGT